CCCTGTGGCCGCGGCGCAGCCCCACAGCCCCCAACCCGCCCGCCGCAGGGCCTGCGAAAGTCGCGCCGAGCAGGCGCCGCCGGGCAGCCCCGCCGCTGGGGTCCTCGCCGAGAAAAGCCCGTCGCCATGGAGACGGGGCGCACGCCGGCTGCCGTTAGGCCGCGCAGGCACAGTAGAGGGCGGTTTAGAGGACCCGAGCTGCGGCTCCCGGGACCCAGTAGCACTGAAGGCGAACGCTTCACGGGCGCGTGATGCCTCGGCTCGGCCACCACAGTCAGCGTCTCAGCCCTCGCGGACAGGGCGCCGGCCTACAGCCAACTCCGAAAGAGCAAGTCGCCTAGCGAGGGCACGGGGAGGGGCCTCGGGCCGCCAGGGTGTGTGGGAGACATCCGCTTCCGGGGCCGCGGCCATCGCAAACCCTGGCTGGGCAGGCCTGCGGAGCTGTACGCGAGAGCTGACCCCGGTCCCTCCTGTTCCTGAGTCCTGGCCGCCGTCGCTCCGCCGGCCGCCTCCTCAACCAGTCATGCTGGAGCATCTAACCTCGCTGCCCACGCAAATGGTGAGGATGCGGCTCGCCTCGGCCCCAAGATCCCTGCACTTTCCTCGCAAGCCTGGCAGTTCCGCAGCCCTTGTCCGAGACCCACCCGGCGCAGCGCGGGTTCCTAACCGGGATGGCTACTCTCACCCCCGAATCATACCCCCTTCTTTCTTCCCCAACGAGGAGGCCCCTGCCCAGTCTCTGTAAGGATGCTTCAGTTATTCTGGGAAACCGAGAATGTCATTACTTGCTCAGGTTCTTGGGGGAGCCCCTGATATTGGGATTACCCAGTGCCAAAGCTATGAGGTCAGGGCAGGAATTGTACCTCTTCAGTGGTGGAACCAATTCTTGTTTTGCTTTCCTTCCCTTCTAGGATTACAAGGGCCAGAAGCTAGCTGAACAGATGTTTCAGGGAATTATTCTTTTTTCTGCAGTAAGTATTGGTTTTGCATGATCTCTTCCCCTGCCCCCCACCCCCCAGTTTTGACTGTATTTAATATACTTTGTTTCTAGGTAGTTGGATTTATCTACGGATACGTGGCTGAACAGTTCGGGTGGACTGTCTATATAGTTATGGCAGGATTTGCTTTTTCGTGTTTGGTAAGAAATATGTGGGCGTTTGGATGTTAGTGGCAACTTAGGTCTTCCAAATTGCGTTGTTTTGGTTGGACCTAGTAGTGAGAACTGGCGACAACTTTTCTCTCATCCTTCCCTTGCTATCATTGGAAAAGTAAATGCCAAATAGTGTCAGATGAGGTGAAACTGCATTGAAGGATACAGCTCATTTCTTTTGGCAGGCACTCCAAGCAGGATTTTTAGTCAAAGCTAGACCTCAAGACCTTATGGTCTTCACATTGCTGCCTCCTCGCCTCCTCACCTTTCTTTTGCTCTTAAAGCCATATGTGTAAACAATGAGGCTTGTTCCCGTCACTTACAGTATTTTGTCTGGGTGGTGGCACACAGTTTTCCTAGGAATGTCAGTTTTGTAGTTTTTACCTTTAGCATAGGAGTCATTTGAGAACCAGGCATTATACATAATCCTCTTTTAAACTTCTAATGGCCATAATTGATGCATTTTCTCTGTTCTGGTCTAGCTGACACTTCCACCATGGCCCATTTATCGCCGGCACCCCCTCAAGTGGTTACCTGTTCAAGACTCAGGCACAGAAGACAAGAAACCAGGAGAAAGAAAAATTAAGAGGCATGCTAAAAATAATTGATTGGGGTTTTCATGATTCATCTTTACTACTGCACCTGCTTTTGTTTTGTGTGAGATGAGCTAAACAGTTTTCATACCCCAAACATGAGCTAAAAATCACCTATGCTCAGCTGTGTTCAAATTTTGTTCTCTCTACATTTCACTTCTCAGTTGGGTTTTGATTTATAAATATTTTAGACCTTCTCTTCACAGTCTTTGTCTGAAATGGAGAACAGAAAACACAAGTATGCAAAGTTTCTTTCAGGTCTACAAAATAATGAAGAATAAATGCCTCATAAATTATAGTACAATTAAACTACCAAAGTTTTATAATTCATTATGAGTAGTCAGTCTGTTTTAATGTTTTCAATTAAAACTCACAGTGCAAGTCAATGTCTAAAGAGTCTTTTGTTCATTGTCCTGCAGGCATGACTACTAGTAATAGCTAAAGTTAGAAGTTCATGTTTCTGAAAGTGTCAGGAAGCACCACTTCTGTTGACAGGAAACACCTATATAAAACTTACTAACGTAAATTTGTGGTAGAGTAATACTTTGGTAACACTAAAATAAGGCTGTTGTTACGCAAAAAACATTTAATCCATGCTTCTAAGTGGTTCAAGGTGAAAACCTATAAAGCTGTAAATTCCTTTTAAATTTTCCAGAGGGCTGAAGAGAAGAATGTTCTAAGCTCTTGTATGAGGGTTGGGAGTAGAACGGTTATTACAGGTAATATTCTATTTCTCAATACCAGGATATAGGACTTCCAGACTACGAGTTTTAAAAAAAGGAAGCAAAGACCTTAATATAGCAAAAGTCAGAAGAGGTTTTTAAAAAAGAGAAAGAAAAATAAAAGGCAGCAGAAATAAGACCAAGCATATCAATAAGTATAATAAAGATGATTAAAAAGCTAAGAGCTCCCAGTAAGGTTAAAAATCAAATTACTGCATGTTCTCAAAATAACACCCAAAGGTAGAAAACAGAAACAAGGATATATTAGGCAGATGCAAGCAGAAAGGAGGGGTAATAGTTAGAAAGTCAGAAACCATTACTTCTGGACAAAGGACATTTCATAGCTGCAGGATGTCATATGAATCATGCATTGAATAAAACATGAAATGTATAAAGCAAAGACTTAAATACACAGAAACTGGGCAAAGCTGCGCTCTTGGCAGGAGACCCAACACTCTACCTTTCAGACTTTGATAGATCAAGTGGAAAGGCAATTGAGATTGACTTCTGCACTTGTTCTATGTACCTGGAATATCTTCCTTCAGGTACACATGACTTGTTCTCTCCTTTCAGATCTCTACCCAGAAACCACTGCAAAGATGCATTTCCTACTGCCCTATCAAAGTATTAGTAAGCCCCATCATTCTATACCCACTTTCATGGCATTTAATATATCTCAGTATATACTGTTAACTCCCCCCCTAGAATATAAGCTCCATGGGAACAGGGGCCTTACTTTGCTCACTACTGTTTGCCCAGTACCCGCAAGAGTAGATGTCACATTATATGTGCTCAGTATTTACTGAGTGAATGATACAGAACTGTGCTATGCAATATGATGCAATGTCACGTATATAAGTTTAAAATACTGAGTTCCTCAAACTAGCCACATTTAAAGGGCTCAACAGTTATATGTGACTAGTGGCTACCGTATCAATGCAGATGTAGAACATTTCCATTTAAAATTCTGTTGATTGGGTCTTATATAGGTTTGAATAGTATTTAGTAGACAAGTGATTCTGCCTATCCATAGCAGAATTCACCTTTACTGAATGCACAATAATGGATCATGTACTGAGCTACAGGGAAAAACAATTCTAAGAAATAGAGGCTGTGCAGGTCATATTCAGTAACAACACTGCAATGTAGCTGGAGCAAGGAGATAGAATTTCCGTGGCTTTCTAAATATATGGAAATTCAGAAACACTTCTAAAAAAAAATCAAAACCAGAATTATTGAATACTTAGAAACTAGTGTCAAAAAGAATACACCAAGAGTCTCTCAAATGTGGCCAAAGGCAGGTTGAGAGGAAAATTCAGTCTTAAAAAATGTGTTTTATTATAATTAAATAAGCTGAAAAATTATTAAGTACTCAAGAAAAAAACTACAAAATAACCAAAAGATAATAAGAGGAAATTGAATGTTTAAACAAAACAAAAATAAACAGAATGGGAATAAAAAGTATGGGGAGATTTCTTAATTCCAAGAAAAAAATATGTACAACTTTATACCAATAAGTTAGAAAACTTTCGTAAAACATGACTTTCCAGAAAGATGTAGATTTCTAAAACATACAAGAAATGGTAAATACCTCTGGAAGATCAACAAACTAGTTTGCCAAAACTTTGCCCCTGCGTGGGCACTGAGACTGGATGGCTTTAGAGCTGAGTTCTAACAAACTCTTCAAAGTAAAATCAAGAGATTTCAGAAACCAGGCCATAAACACTGTAAGGGCAGGGAGTACTGTTTATTCACCACTTCGTATCCCAGCTCTTGGCCTAGTTCCTGGCACGCAGGACAAACTAAATAAAGGTCTGTTAAGGGACTAGAAAGGGAACATTTTATTATTTTATGTGTGTGTAATTCTCAAGGAAGGTAAGATACATTTTTAATTATAAAAACTGAAAATATTTATGGAGCAACAGACATTTTTAGAGTCCTTTGAAATATAGAAGTGAAAATTTACTAATCAAGACTTTTATTTTATAAAAACTACTTCCTAGAAGGGCATTACCCCGTATTAAACAACTAATAACATATGTGATACACAAACATACATTTAAAACATGAGAAGGCAACCAATATTTTGATACTACAAGAAGATGAGTTTCAGGAGACAAATATGTCCAACATAACTAAAAGGATCTGGACTTCACTTAAAAATTGCTAAATCAGAAAAGAAATTAAGAGTTCAAAAATGTTTTTGCTGACGGAAAAATACATTTTAAAAAAAAGTATGTAAAAACTGATTTACAGGGTCAAAATACATTCTAGTTTCAATTCTTGTATATCCTGAATGAAATTCATATTAAATGTAAATAAAATGCTAAACATCCATCAATGTGCAAAAAAGGAATTCAGTTGCTCAAGTACTAGATACAACTTCATATTCTTTAAATCTACTCCCAGAATTATAAAAAAATAATTTATCAACTGCTACCTAAGTTTGTTAACAATAAAAAGTAGTATATGTCGGTTATTTTCCCTACTGCATTTATCACTATAATATAAAACTTCCAATCCAATATTTTATGCTCCCTGTATTCAAGCTAATTAGAACCTTAAAAAAATAGTTCTACATATAAAGTTGGTGGTTTAAGGCTCAGTAAACAGTAACTAAACAAACATTGTATAACAGATTTTTCCTCAAGAGAATAAGAGAGCCAAAGCTTTCTTCTTTTGTGAGCTTGCTTCACATTACTGTTGTGTCCAATTTTTTCCCAGTAAATAAAACCCCAAAGAGATATAAGGACGGGATGGCCTCCAGTCATTGTTATTACAGGTTTGTTTTTGTTTAAGCCAAAAACCTTTGAAAATAGTTTAGTTCTGGCAGCAGATTAAATTCTCAAAAATTCACATTTTCTTCAAAAAATTTTAACTGGCGAGCTTTCACACTATAAGCTGTATATTTTTCACCCATGTGCTCCCGCAAACGTACCTATTTGAGAAATATAAACAAAAAAATCAGTATGTAGTAGAAAAAAATATTTCTGTACTCTTAAAAGGGTTTTTCTCAGCATGATAACCAGAGGCAGAAACCTTATGGGAGAATACTAATAGTTGTGTTTACATAAAATTTTTAAATGTCAACATATCAAAAAATAAAGTCATAAGAAATTATAGAGCAAACAATAAACTAAGGAAAATATAACATACATGCCAAGAATTAATACCATATATATACAGACAGAGCACTCAGAATCAATAAAACACATTATTAGAATATTAGAATTGATAAAAACAAAATCAGTCCCATAGATAAACTCAACATAGGCATTTACAAAATAATACAAATGATCAATTAACATACATAAAATTCAACCTGACTAGTAATCCAAAAAAAGTACTATGTGACATTCAAAGTATGTCTGTGGAAAGAATGCCTGAAATTAAAATAACACTTAATAATGTGTTCAACAAATGTCATATACTTCCTGAGACAATACATTCAGAAGGACAGAACATCACGTCTTTGGTATTCCTGCCCAAAATGCATAATCTGGATCTATTCATGAGGAAACATCAGACAAGTCCAAACCGAGGGCATTTTATAAAACACATGACCTATACATACTCTTCAAAAATATCAAGGTCATGAAAAACAAAGAGTAACTATTGCAGATTAAAAGAGACATAACTAACTCTAAAACGTAATCCTAATTGGTTCCATACCCAGCATGACAGTATGAGGAGCTCTGCAGACCCTTCTTCAGTGAAACTGGTGAAAATTATTTTAAAAACCAACCATTTAACATCTCTGGAAATGGTCCAAAGGGTATAGGGCAAACAGGGACCTTTTTTTTTTTAAGAAAATCTACTAAAACTCAGTAAAAACAGTAAAACTACTAAGAACAGTGAGAGTCAGTGATTTGAATTAAGATCAAATATCTCCCTTCCCACTCCCAGCTCAGTGAGACAAAAACATCACCACACTGATGAAGTCAAGAACCGTTCCTGCTAACTCTTAGCTGGAAGGCTATCTTCCTGGGAGGGGCAGGACATCAGCATATCTCATCCTGCCCCCAATACCTGTTTTGACAATAAGTTTTGGGAGAGTGCAGCCAAGAAGTGGGAGCTTCTTTCTTACGTCCAGCTCAGCCTCAGGATGGAGGCTCTATCTTGGGTATAGGGCCACTGAAAATATTGGGGCCCCAAACACCTTTGCCCCAGACCATAAGGCAAAATTTCCATGCTGGGTGAAACAATGCCAAGAAGACCAAATACTACTGCCTGTCACGCTCTCTGAGTTTCCAAGGTGGGAGTATCACTCAGAGACAAGCATGCTATTGTTCCCACTCCAGCTCCAAAGCTGTGCATCAAGATTTTGCCTGAGGGTAGAAGCCACATGTAAAATAGCACCAAGTTCTCAATGAACTGACTTCATTTGGAACAGAGAGTGGAGAAATTCAAGCCTAAGGGTGCTCTCAAACACTGGAGGTACTGATGAAAGCTCTTTGGAAGGAGGTTTGTAGATTCACTGCATACATGGGCTAAACTGTAGGCCAAAGGTATTTTAATGGAAAGAACCAAGCAGCTGGAGAGGCCCCCTAGGTTCAGAACAAATCACAAATGCTGACCTTGGGAACTACCCCTGCAAAGGAGCCCAAATTTGATTGGATTGGTTGGTAGAGCAAAGTGTGCCCCAGGGCATTGTTGAAAACAAT